CCAGAGGAGGCCCTTAGCAACAGCATTGTCAGACTGCCTCAAAAAAATCAGAAAGTCTTTGATTCCAGGAACAGACTGCCCTGGAGACAGACACAAGATGAGTCAGGTTAAGCAGGGACAGAATCCAGCTGGGTCAGCCTCAGGCATGTGAACTAATGCAAAGGTCTGTTCATCTTTATTGTCCACTAAACACCTACTATGTGCCAGGCTCAGAAGAGGGCTCAGGATACAGAGTTTTGAAGACAGACAAGGTTCCTGTCTTTACAGGGATAATACCTCGCAGAAGAGTGAGCACCAACAAGTCAAAGGAAATAGGGCATATTGTGAGGTATACAAGAGGTGACGTGGGCCAGCACATGGTGAGCAACAGGAAACCATTAGGAGGTTGTAAGGAAGAAAGACACAGACTCTGGTTTGAGATTCAGGAGGAAAAGTCCAGCTTCTCCAAGGAAAATGAAAAAGGAGGGGACAGAGTGAAGGCAGACGGTCCAGCTAGGACATGGTGGCTTTGTACACATGAGAGATGAGGTCTCTGGCAAGTAATGTGGCAGCTGAGCAGGGACGAATGTGTGTGACCCACACCATGGTGAGAAGGACTAGAGGAAAGAGGCGAATGGTTGAGGCCCTGAGTGTGTCCTTGTGATGGAAACCTGAAAACAGCCTGTAGCTGTGATCGAGTGTGTCACACTCCTCTTCTCTCTGGAAAGCTCATAGGACTCAGCACTCATTGTTGCCCTTCCCTGCTATTCAATAAGATTAATGTGAACCATCACTCTTCACACCTGAAAAGAGATCGGTTTACTTTCTATTGAGCAAAAGCCCCAAGGGTCAGGACAGAGCATTGCAGAGCATGTGGGATGATCCCCTACACATCCAAGGGGCTGCTGCTGTTAAAGCTCACGATGAAACCTCCCAGAGCTCTGTCAGAAACCATGAGAGCGGAGGTGTCAGTGCTGAAGTAGCTGATTTGGGAGCACACTGATTTGCAGTCTGTGCTGCTGCAGGAGTCTGAGGACTGAGGCCCAGCACAGGCAAAAGGCTCCCAAGCTGTCATTATGGGGCAGAGTCCTTGTGGCCTCCTCAGTGATGGGGGGTAGGGGTGGGTAAAGGTCAATGAAAAAGCTAGAGAGCAGTGGAAAGGCAGGATTCTGTGTCTGGGCAAGGCAAAGAGGTCCAGCCCCCACCCAGGCATCCTTATTCATCCTTCTCTTTACCTTCCTTCCTCCCTGCCACCTTCCCAGGGCAGACTTCCAGGGCTGTGGTGTCTCTGCTACTCTTTCTCCATCACAAACAGAGCAGTGGGGAGGTTATGTGATGACAAAGCTATCTCCTCACACTCAGCTGTCTAGTTACCCTGGGGAATTCCTCTGAAGGATGGGAATGCTCTGTTTGACCTCTGACCTACAGTAAGATCCCAGCCATTTGTGAGGCCAAGATGACCACATTCTGTTTACACAGGATTATTTACAACACACGTAGTCAAATAAAACCATCAAGTTCTGCAGAAGTCAATCCATTCTTCAGAATTATAGAAATGCAGGTCTCTCAGTTGTCAGCAACAGGCTTTAAATCCCAGGGTGACTAACTGGTCAGGGTGGGATCAGCCACATGAAAATGTTTCTTTACAGCTAGTGACTCTATTCTCTGTGTTTCCCCTGCTGAGATTTCAGCTCCATGAGATTGTTCATTGTAGTTGCTGCTATTTTCTGTCTTGTCATTGCTGTAGCTACAGAGCCCATAACACTGCCTGGCACTAAGGACAGACTCAAAACATGTTTGTTAAATATGTGAGTTCACCCACATTGGAATGCCAGGAAGAGATACAAATCTGAGGTCAAGATAATAATTTTTTTAAAAAATTCTGGAAATTTTGTGTTTGAGATTCAAAGTTCATTCAACAGAAGATATTAAGTGAGAACATTTTCCTTCGGATTTGGTTAGCAGGACAAGGATATGAATATGAAAATACAAATATATCACACATATCTCCCCATGGCCCAGGGACTTGAGAGCTCAGCTGGTCTCTGCAGCTGCCCATCATGGCCTCTTTTCACTCATTTATGGTCTGATTCCCATGAATCCATAGATGCTGGATCCCATGGGTTCATGTGGAGAAAGTGGAGAGGGCGTGATGGGCTTTCCCAGTCCTGCTTAAAGAAACCACAGGAAGCCAGTAGATCATAAAGCAAATTCGGGGGACAGAAATCCCTTGAGAGCAAATAAACTGCAGAATATGGGTGAGTTGGAAAAATGTCTGGTAATGTTTATACAACTAAGAAACTTTACATTAGCAATCCTTCAACACAATATTCATTACAGAGCTTCAAATCAGCCATGTGATCAATGCAATTCAAACATTAAACTCATCAACCAGAAGTCCTATAATAGGCTTCGCTTAGGAAATTTTTGAAGGAAGAATGATGGGTTTATGAGCTCTGTGTCCACAGAAGAGATATTTCTGCACTAGGAGGACTGGGTAAAGTCAATAAATAATTAGGAATGTAGGTGCCATCTGTACTTTATTCTAATCCAATATGCAATGCTGTGAGTCCTGCATCTGCAAATCTTAACATTCATTGTGCTTCCTTCAATTTTCCACTTATTACAATAAATTAACTTTAGATATGGATGATCAAAAAACAAATCAATTAATGTGAGAATCCTTGAAATCTGTTGCTTTAATGCGCAAAAATTAGGGAACATTTCAAAGGTATATATTTGTTGATTTATGTACCAGTGATAAAATACCTTTTCGTTGATCTGTTGTAGAAATCACCTAGCAAAGGGGTAAGTTGCTGGGAAACAGGTGTTGAAAAGTTAAACAACATGAACCACAATGATGATGGTCAAAGTTGGCTGAAGGGTACAAACAATTCATTAGAAAATTATCAGTATGTTTTCTGACTCAAAAATTTCCATGCTAACCAGTGTTGGAAATATCCTTGTTTGTAATGAGATGTTTATGTTCTGCTTTTAACAGGTGTACAATGTGGACAAAATGTAAGCTTACACTGTGACTTCAAGTAGAAGCCCATCTTCTCCAAACAGGCAGAGGAGAAGCTGGTGTGGAGAACGTGGAAAAGACAGGAGCTCAGGGTTTCCCAGGACAGAGAAGCGAGTGAGTCCAGAGCCCTAGAAGTAAGAGGAGGGGATGTGAGTTGGGCTGTGGGGGTGTGCAGGGTCCACAGTGTGAAGGGCAGGCCATGGAGGCCCCAGGGCTCAGGTTTTATAAAAATGAGGAGTTACTGAACGGGTTTACGTCAGGGAGTGCCCTCCCTGCCCCATCTGAAAGAGCAGGATCTCTCTGAATGCCCTGAGAAGAGAGTGCCTGAGGGAAGTGAGTGATCCTGATTCTAGATTTTTCACTAACGCACCTTATGAGTCTAGAAATCCAGGGGCCGTTTGCACAGTTACACAACAGTAGACGTGGCTACTTTGAGAAGTGATGGTCTCTGCCCTTGTCTTCTCACTTGCAAGAGAACTTTGAGGGAAAAATACATACCGACCTTTCTAATAAACTGAAAACATCCCATCAAAAAATACATGTGGCATATCACAATACAAACAAATTGTATAACATCTAGGACAAATTCTTGACCAAAAAATATGACACAACTGTGTAGACAATGACAAGTTTTACTTAGGGAGATAATGGCTAACTTCATAAAATAGAGAAATATGTCACACTGCTCACTGATAAAAGTAAGTCTGCCAAATCTATTAATTTTCCTACATTACTAAATTGAGTCAAATCTCCATAAAACACACGAAACCACTGTATATATAACTTTTGCTGAATTGCTGCCTTCAACATATCATGGATTCTTTAGTTTTCCTGGAAAATTCTCATTTTCACCATCCTTTAAAAGAGTCCCTAGCTCTTTAAAAAAGAAGCAGTCTCTAGTAATCAGACCACAGATATGTGAACACTATCAGTGACTGCAGAGCTGCAGAGACCAGCTGGATTCTGAAGTCTCTGAGCCATGGGAAAGTCTGTGCCCTGGGACCAGCATTGGATGTTGTGGAGCTGCCCAGTTCTTGCTACAGGGCTGCTCAGTAAGAACCATTCACTCAGAGAAATCCAGCCCTTGGGACTGGGCCCTGTGTTCACCAATGGGGACTCAGCAGCTGTGTCCCCTCTGGCCTGGCAGAGCTCCCTGAGCAGGGAGCTGTGTATGGTCTCAACAGGTGCTTCCTCCCAGGGCCTTGCAAGAAGAAAAGCAAATCTTCCTCCTGCTCAGTCTGCAGAGTGAGCTGAGCTGCATCCCCAGGGCTCAGGGAGGGGCTGGGCAGTCCCTGGGTGGAAACACATTTGCATGAGCAGCCCCTCCTCTGCAGAGGGTGGGAAGAAAAGGAGGCCTGGGGCAGCCCAGTCCCACTGCAGGGAAAGAGGCTGTGTCCACCATGGCCTGGACTCCTCTCCTCCTCCTGCTCCTCTCTCACTGCACAGGTAGGAACAGGCCTCAGAGACCAGGGTCAGCACCCAGCCTGATTGTGACTATTCTGGCAAAGATCCCTGAACAACTTTAGCCTGCTTTCTGCCATATCACCCATTAATGCTTGTGTTTGCAGGTTCCCTCTCCCAGCCTGTGCTGACCCAGCCAACCTCCCTCTCAGCATCTCCGGGAGCATCAGCCAGACTCAGCTGCACCTTGAGCAGTGGCATCAATGTTGGTAGTTACAGCATATTCTGGTACCAGCAGAAGCCAGGGAGTCCTCCCCGGTACCTTCTGTACTACTACTCAGACTCAAGTAAGCACCAGGGCTCTGGAGTCCCCAGCCGCTTCTCTGGATCCAAAGATGCTTCAGCCAATGCAGGGCTTTTACTGATCTCTGGGCTCCAGTCTGAAGATGAGGCTGACTATTACTGTGCCATATGGCACAGCAGCGCTTCTCACAGTGACACACACACATGGGGAAGTGGGACAAAAACCTCAGCCTTCTCTCACTCTTGTTCTGTGACAACTTTCAAATTGAAAAAATAACTTTTCTGTTTAGAAACTATATTTGGAATTACTTTCTTGTGGTAACAGGCTTTTCTCTCAATTTCCCATTCATTGTTTTTGAAATCTCAGTAAAACAAAAACAAAACCAAGCCACCTGATGACACTAAAATGTTGGCTGATTATCCAGATGTGTTCAAACCAGTGCCTGAGGAGCTGGACCTTTTTCTGCTGAAAGAAGCAAAATGAGCCTTTTCTAGCTCATACTGTAGTCAGAACTTGGGAACATTCTAGCAGGTAAACAGTCTCCTGCCTCACAGATTCTGCTTTTCCAGGGTTCAAACCAGAGACTTGCCCTTCCATTTCCAGTAGCCTGTGCTCAGGGCTGTCCACGGTTCACTGTGTCCCAGGAACAAAGCATGAAAATGTAAAATTCTTCATGAGGACACAGGTCAGGGGGGAATTCCCCATGAAACTGGCCTGTCCCAGTCCTGGGTACCTGCATTTTCAGTTTCAATGTCAGGAGAGCTGATGAGGTGTGGGGGAACTGGATCTGCGGGCAGCAAAACTCTTTGTAGGACACGAGTGAGTAAATGGTTGGGGGGTGGCGGGTACCATCATGGCTTAGACAAAGCTGAGGCTGCTCCTGAGCCGTTGGTAGAAGGAGGTCCCATGGATGTGACTTTCCTCCAGCTCATCCCACTCAGAATCATGGGGACTCTTGAGGGAGGGTTTCCTGCTCCCTTGGGGCCTGACTGTGCTCTCTTGTCTTCTCTTACACCATTAGAGCTTTTCACTGAGTCAGGGTCTAGTCAGTGCAATATCTGGATACAGAAACTGCCCAATATTTCCTTCAAGTGACTCCTCCCCATGAAACTCTCAAGGAGGTCCACATCTCGATGTCAAATTCCTGCATGGGGAGCAGCAGAAGCATTGGGCAGTCCCATGGAAATGGCTACTGAGGCTCCCAGAGACAGCACCTATATTTGTGACCCAGGACAACAGTGATGGACCTACAGGGGTCCCAGCCTGATTTTCCTGCTCTGGGTTCATCCACATTGCCTGCTTGACCAGCTCTGGGCTCCAGGCTGAGGACAAATGTGATTATAAGCATCGCACAGCGGCATCCAGACTCCATCTCACCAAAAGCTCCTGATCCGTGGAGAAGCGAGAGAAAGATTTGTCCTCAACTCCTCCTGTCTTCCCCATCCCTCCTTTATCCCTGCCTGTTGCCAACTCCAGTTCACGCCAAGGCTTCTGCTGTCACTTGTGTTACTGAAAGTGGAGCATCAGTTCAATGAAAAGAACTCGTTTGCTTACTGGTGCTCCAATGCAAACAGAATCGATTTGTTTCTAGAAGCAAAAGGAGCAGGCCACACATGGTGTGGATGAGGTGGGGGTGACAAGAAAGAAGAATCCAGCCTGTGTGACCCAGAGACCCAGGTGCCCCTGCCTGGCCCTATAGGTGTCTTCTGTTGGCACAGGCATGGTGGCCATTTCCTGAGCTCTGAGACTGCTTGAGAGATGACAAGAAAGGAGAACCCATCCTGTGTGACCCAGAGACCCATATGTGAGAATGAAAGTCCAATACTTAAGGAAACATGGAATCAGCATTCTGAAAGCTCTGGCTCTGTCTTGGCCTTTGGCTGATGTAGAAGAGAAGCAAGAGAGATGCTCAGCCTTGGGTGGCCCAGGCACAACTGTCCTGAAAAGGGTCTGAGCTCTCTGCAACGTGGGCTTTCTGCAATAATATGCTTATGGAGGCTGCAATCCAAGTATGATGCAAAAGAAGCTATTTAAAGTGACCAGGGGATGGTTTACGGGGGAATGAGGCAAAAGGTGTGGGGTCAGATGTGGTAAGGAGGGTGCAGCCTGGAGAAGAGCTCGTCTTTGGGAGCCTTATGAGGAGGAGTCCCAAGGCCCAGAGCAGTGACAAATAGAAGACGTGGAAGGATCTGGGCCGTGGAGACACAGACGTACAGGGGCTTGGTCTGTTCTGGAGGGTCCCTGAAGAGGATGACATTAAAACACTATGGTCAGTGGCCTCTGTCCAATGCTCCCAGTCCCAGCTTCTGTCCCTTCCAGAGCTTCTGGGTGTCCAGGTCTCTTCCCTGAATTTGTTTTCTCAGCACCAGCCCCCAGGAGCAGCTTCACCTTCCGTGCCCAGAGTGGGGCTTACACAGCTGAGTATGAAAGACAAGATTTGCAAGAAAGTATCTGCCCATTGTGTAGGGGGTGAGTGAGCAATTGTGGGCATTTGAGCTCCTCTAGGGACCTAAAAGAGCAGAGGTGCTCCCCAAGACCTGGACTCCTTACTTTCCCCTCCTCCCATCGCTCTCCTCACTGCAGCTACAGCCAGGTGAGGGCTCAGGGCTACTTGAGGACCCAGCACAGCCCAGGGCCTCCATCCCACGCATTGTCTCCAAACTCTGTAAGGGCTATCTCTGAAACTGTAGAAACATAGATTTCTATGTGCCCAGGACAGGGTTAGAGGACACTGACCCCATTTCTTGCAAGCTGCTCATCAGCTCTCAGGGCCCCAGTGAAGAGAAGAAAGAGTTAGAAATCAGGAATCGACCCAGGGCTCCCCTCTCTCTTCTCTCCCAGCCACCATCTGGCTTCTTCTAGCCACAGAAATAAAGAGGAGGTGGCCAAAAAAGGCAAGGGGAGTGCTAGGCAATATCAAAGGCAGCAGAGCCAAGCAGTCACCCCGGATGGTGTGAGGAGGTGGTGGAGGTGTCTGGAACCAGGGAATAGTGCGGACCCTCTTACTAAAGTGAGGAGGGGTGGCAAAAACGGAGGCCTAGATGGTTAACCAGATCTCCTGAGCCATTTACTCATTTTTTCTTCTGTTGCAGCTTGGGTAAGAATAGGACAAAAAAATTCTTTGAGGAGGTTTTTTTCTTCAGCTAAGAATCCTTAGAGGATTAACTCAGGAGTTGAGGGGAGACTGAGCCTTGCTCTCAGGCCAAAAGAATTTGTAGCTTTCAAGGGAATTGGATAGGATTGAAGTTCCCAGATTTTGGCATCTAAGACCTAAGTCCCCTTAGCCAAGCCCAGCACTGGCACCAAAGTGGAAGATGGCTGATAGATAAGTCTAGAAAGGCCTAGATGAAATAATCCTGGGGCTTAATCCTAAATCTGGAAAGAGAGCAGGTTTTATGGTATAAAGCAGAATGATGATTAGATCTTAAATCTTAAGACTTGGGTTTGAAGTCAGACGTGTTGGTGTGCATCTGTAGTCCCAAGGTTTTGGAAGGCTCAGACAGGAGGATCACTTACTTCCAGAAGTTTGAAGTTACAGTGAGCTGTGATCATGCTGCTGCACTCCAGCCTGGGTGACAGAATGACACTTCATCTCTAAACAAATAAACAAACAATCATTTGGGTTTGCGTCCTGGCATTTACTGGCCATGTGGCTTTGAGCAACCCAAGTTTTCCTTCTTTATTTCCTCACTTGAAAAATGGAGATAATGATGAAAATACCCACTTAGTAAAGGTGTTGGGAAGATGAAACGGGATTAATACAAAGTCACTCCATTGCTGCTAGGAGATGGAAGCTTAGATACTGGAGGCCAGAGTGTTTGAGGGGCTTGAGGGACTGAGAACACCCAATCTGGAGGTCAGACTGGTAGCGAGATGCTTGGGACAGACCAAAGCCATAAAGAGTCTGATTCTGGGAGAGCACCAGGGCCAGGATGTGCCAGGGTTGCTGGGGAGGGGTAGGGGCTACAAAACAATTAATTAATTGCACTTAGTGTTCACATTATTCTAGAATGTATTCCTCAGATGGGCAAATATTTTCATGTACCTACCTACCTACCTACTTACCTACCGGTCTGCAATCTGTCAGTGAGGGCCTGAGAGGAAAGGGAAGGCACAGAGGCAGAGGCTGGGTCCAAGGGCAGGTCCCAGTCATCTGGGAGCAGACTCTGCTCAGCCAGGGAGGGAAGACAGGGAGCAGCTCCTGGTGTCTTGGAGGCAAGCACCGCCCTGTCCCTGCTGGTCTTCCTGCTCTGTGGTCCCAAGGGAGGTCCCTCAGGGAGGATGAGCTTCAGGACTGTCTTGTAAAGCACACAGTGAGCTGGGCAGATGAGTCCAGGGCACGAGGACTGTGTGGAGACCTGAGACTCAGATGCTTACTAACATGGACACTGCCCAGCTCCATCCTATAGGGAGAGGACAAAGTGGACAGTGGAGAAAGCCAGATTCTCGGGCCTGTGTGGGCTTCAGCCAGCAGAGGGTGCTGTGGGCTCTCTCTGGGGCCTGTGCTATGGATCCCAGTTGGGAGCCACCCTCTAGGCCTAGGCTGGAGCCCTCCGCTCCTGTTCACGGGGACCAGAAGCTGTGTCCTTACAGGTCCTCAGGGAGACACAGAACAGCCTCACCCAGGTCCACCCCATCCCAGGCTCAGCTTTCTAGGCAGGGATCAGAGTCAGGGCCTGGGGTGGGACTTGGGCAGCCCAGGGGAGGAGGCTGGTGAGCATGAAGAGACCCTCCTTCATCCTGGGCTGTTGGAGGAAATAATAGGGACTGGGGGAGCTCAGGCCCAGCTGAGGGTCATCAGGATGCAGAGCTGTGTGGGGATCCCCACCATGGCCTGAGCTCCTCCCTTTCTCCCCCTTCTCATCCACTGCACAGGTGGCTAGGGCTAGGGCATAAGGACTGTGGGTGAATGGAATGAGAACCCTGCATGTTGCCCTCTCAACAGACCTGCCTCTCTCACCCTGTATTAGTCCAGATGTCAAGGTTCTGGTCCAGTCTGTGCTGACGCAGTGATGGAAAGTGTTCATGTGGGTGCGGCAAACTGCCACCATCTATCACACTGGAAGCAGAAGCAAGGGTGGGTGTGGATCTGTGTCCTGGCACCAGCAGTGTCCCCAAACTCCTCATCTATGACAGCAGTCATCGGCCAGCACAGGTCCCAGCCCAGTTCTTGGGCCCCAGGTTGGGGATCATGGCCTCCCTGAGCACCTCTGGGCTCCAGGCAGTGAAGGAAGCTGATTCTTATGAGCATCTTGAGACACAAGCATCCAAGATTATGCAGTGCTGTGGGCCAGTGGGGAGGTGGGAGGAAAACCTTCTGTTTTCCCAGTAACGTGTCTTCTCTGTTTAGCCTCCACCCCTTCAGCACAAGTTTCTGGGGAGGAGGAACTGAAGCCTGGGTGAGAGAAAGATTAGGACCTGGAGCCTACTGCTGAGGGGGACCTTTTCCTTTCCAGATGGCAACAGGGAGAATCTCCCTCTGAGATACATGAGAAGCCCCTTCCCATGACCTGTCCTGTCACATGGATGAATTTGTATTTGGAAACAAGTGACTCCCTAGTGCCCAGCATTACACCCTCATAGAAAACCTTCCAGAATCAGCAAGATCTGCCCTCCCTGACCCACTGGCCAGGAATCCCAGACATCAGGAGGGCTGGACTAGATCCCTCATGCCATCTCCCCTGACACCATCATGGTGACTGGGGCGGGGGGGCTCTCTGATTAATTTCAGCCACACACTGCCTGTCCCTGGCATTGCAGTTGGGGATGATAACAGGCTAAGTTTATGACTGGGTGATCTATGGTACAGAAAAGAGAGGAATAGATTGGGAGTCTTCCCTATGTGGCCCCCTGTGTGCATCACTCTGCCCTCCACCTTCATCCTATGTTCATGATGGATGTCTCATCGAGGCTGGAACCTGGGCAGTAACATGGGCCTGTCTGTCCCCATCTCACAATGCTTCATCTTGGATTCCCCGACCTTTCTGATATTCCTTTCATGGATCAATTTCAGGCCAGGACACAGCCCAAGTCCATACAGGAGGCAGCGATCTGAGAATCAGGTAGTCTCATGAGAGACAGAAAGCAGATAAACACCCTCATGTTGAGCTCTTAAGCTCAGAGGAGTTAAGGAAATGAAAGAAATTCAAGAAGAAATATAAGTGGTCACTGCCCACCATCACATGGGCACCTGTTTTCCATCTGCCTCTCTCTCAGTGAAGACCAGACTCAGAGGCCTAGAGAAACACATCCTCATCTGTTCACACCGTGAGGTGCCTCCTTCTGCACTCATCCCAAGACTGCTGCCCCCTCAGGTTACCTGTGTCACTGCTGAGAGTCTTCACAGGGTCCTGGTCACAGGGGTTCAGATCAGGATCAGCCTGGCTATAACTCCGCTGTGAGCCTGCCCCTTCAGGACAAAAAGTGAACTATCAGGGCTCTAAGTGAACTCTAGTGGTTTACTTAAATCTTAAATTCTCCTTCTCAGTATCCTTCTAGGAAGTTCTGTCTCTAACCAATAATATCATGGCATTTCCTCAGGTCTAGGGCCATTTGATTTCCATAATTCTATAGTCACTCTCATGTTGTCATTCCCTGTCATGGCTCATTTTCCACTCAGCAGCTAATGATGCCAACTATGTGTCTACAGCCCATTGTCATGAAAAATGGGGAGGAGAGGGTTCCTTAGATAAATACAGGGTTAGCAAAGAAAAGTTGCAGTAACTCTTAGGAATCACTTCAGGATCCAAGAAAATTCATTCATTCCAGAGCTTCAAGAGTTTATAACTCAAAAACAACAGCAGCAATGCACTAGGTGCTGAATCTTCTTGGCCTTGTCAATAGATAACCTCAGAAATGATCAGAGAATACATTTCAAAAAGGTAAGCATATGACTTTCACAAAAATGTAGTATTCACGTATGTCAAAAATTTTAATAAGCTGATGTATTTTGGAGACAAACAGTATGATGGTAAATAAATGTAAAAAAGCATTTTAAAAACTCAGTGCTTATACTCCACCAGGATAGAACCTGTGAAGGAAATTTTTTGCATTGAAGATACACTGTCTTTTAGAATAATAGCAACATAGGTATGAATTTATGTTCTCATCTCACAATCTACAAATTAAAATCACCCCATTTATATGAAATATCTAGAAAAATAACTGTACATTTGGACATTCCCATCTAACACCACCCATCCATCCTCTCCCAAAGTGGAATCTCTCTGCCCACGTTCTGCTCCTCTCCACACATCTGCCTGCTGACACATGGCTC